ATCGGTCCTACACCTAAAAAGGGATGCTGAAGAACAGAAACAAGTTCATAGGAACAAAACTGAAATGGCAGAAGGATTTAAAACCATGGAATTGTATGAGGAATGGTTAAAAACCTGCAGGCGTAAGTATCCACAGGAAAAAATAGCTATTTATAGAACAATTAAGGGCTCCCGTGCGGAAGATAGAGTTGATTTGTTCTATAATAGGTACCTAGAGAAGTGCCACTTTGACCACATAAATGTGTTATTTGAAAGGATATCAAAGATTCTACTACTCTCGATACGTTCCCAGGAAGACTATAAAATAGTAAATTACTGTGGAATAAAGTCCTCCCTTACCTCAAAAAAGAAACCCAATTTTCTTGAATAAAAGATGGATTTAACCATAAATGTTTTCAGTCTTAGCCTCTGAGACCAATTGTAAAAAAAGAAATGGCCTATTTTTAAAATGGTTGATTTCATTTGTCTTACGAACTACCGAGTATAATTCGTGTGTTCCTATAGAACCTGTTTTTAAAAAATAACGAAATCAAAGCAGACAATTTATGAAATGATATAAAGGGTGTATCACTGGGACTTCTTCTAGAAAAAGCTGTTAGAGTTCTGCAAATGAGATATTTCCGGGAGGCTGGACTTTAGAATTACTTTGGCCAAGGCTGCAGCTCCCCACGGACAGGTGTGACTCCACGGAGTCAGACCCTTGCTCCGGCTCCTCCCGGAAGCGAAGCCCCCAAACTCCCCTGGGCGCCCTGCAGAGAGCGCCCCGCATCCGACACAGGCGAATGAGCCTCCGCTGCGTCCTTACGCTCCGGGTGCTGGGACCCTCCCATGCTTGGGCTGATTGACGCTTAAAAAAGCCTCAGATTAGATCTTTTCCCAACCTGGTCACAGGAGTGTGGACTTGGGCAAGTAAAACTGAAAAGCTGGCAAACTCGGGCTATAGTAAGACCATCATCTCTCCTTCCTCCCTTCCCTGACCTCGTCAGTTTCTTTATTTAAAAAAAAAAAAAAAACGGCTAAAATATTTACAATATCTCTAAAACATTATCCGAGCTAACAGTTCACATTGGGTTCAGAAGGAATTTAGCATTTTTTAATGGTGGGATTTTGTGTTTGTTTTTATTTTAGATCTTTGAGGCTGAAGCTTTTGGAGGGGAAGTGATTGAGAAGCCGGGGAATCTTTTTAACCTCTCATTTTAACCTTTCTTTTATTTGTTGAAGATGGAGTTTAAGTTAAAAGATAGGCAGAATGTAAACAGAAAATAACCTCCATCAAGCAAACTTCACGAGCCCATCACCGTGACCAGGTATTCACTTCTCAAATAACATCGTCGCCAAATGTCGGAACGACTTATCCTTCCCATATCGAGAAATATGACAAGAAAGGACCGTCTCAGTGAAGAGTGGTAGATCCAGACGCCATTAACTAGTTTAAGCGTAGGGTGGAGGGAGTAAGGATCATTAATTTCTCAGACATCACCCCTGTACTGTTTCTGCCACCCCTATAATCCCATTAGTAACAGCAGGCCTGATGCTATAGCAACTAACCTGCTTTCTGAAAATAAATGACTTAACCCTGGGAGGTAAGCTAATTCCTTAAAGAGAGAAGGTTACATTAAGTCAGCTACCTTGTGCAGAGCTTCAATGCCTGTTTCCCACTAAACCAAATTATTCTCTAATGCTATTATTAGTCATCTTAACATGACTTAATTTATTGCTTGAAACACAACAAAGATGCGGTAAAGAATAATCATTTAAGTAATGTAATAGTAACACAGAGATATACATTTGCAAAATTCTACACCAAAGCACCTTTCCCTTTCCAAAGTCCAACTCTCCTCTAGCCTTCCCCTTCCGTGTGTGGCAAGTGATAACATTTCTACAGCGTACACCTCTCTTTCCTAGAGCTGAACGAGCAGCATGGCAACTCTACCACGGGTAACACACCACCGTAAGCACACACCTTTTCTCTGCTACTATGAGCAGTTAAAGATCTCTGTGCTGCCCCCCGAAGAGCTGTCCGATAATTGTAGAAGTTGCTTGAAGGGTCCATCTGATGCTGCGGATAAAAGAAGAATACTAACTATTTATTTCTCACCTGTAAGAGGTTTACAAGATCACACATTTAGCTATACATAAAAAATTCCAAATAAGTTAGGGAGCTCAGTAGCAATATGATTTATCCCTCTTAGACACACGCACACACATGTACATGAAACACATTAAAACAAATGTTTTCTTTCCTGAGGTTTGGTTTAGTTACATAAACTGATGTAGCTTTGGTAACGTTAAACCTAAACCACGTTCTTTCTAGCCTAATTGTTGAGATTAGACCTAAAATGGATAAGAGTCGAACATTAGCAGTAGAACAATTCCCTGGTTTCATACAAGGTCAACAGGTCAGGTGACAGCTAGCCACGTACAGTGATCCACGACGTGGTAGTGAGCTTGTTCTTTGCATGTGGCTCCAAATCATTCGCAAATAAATGAAGCTCACCATTTTGCAAGAAGGAATGGAAATGTATTAGATAGTACGAATAAGACATCACATAATACATCTAAGAACAATTCCCAATTTGGGGGAAAACTTAGTTAAGAACATTCTTTTTTTCTCCAAAGATAGTGTTCAAAGCACCAACCCACCAAGGTACCACTGAGATGAGTATGATTCAAACACACAAACCCTTGTGCCCAATTCTATTATCCTCAGAATTATATGGGAAAGGCTTTTTCACATGTCAGCTTAATCTGCTGAAAGGATGATGAATGAACGTTTCTGTAGGGATGGGGAACTCCTCCCCCAGGGCACTGCAGATAAATGAAGCTAGTAGCTTGCAGTGAAGTAAAACCCTTGACTCTTAGAACCCAAATTCTGTTCTGGCATACAAGGCAAGGTGATCGACAGGTCACCATTTGCCCAGTCCATTAACCCCCAAATGGACACGTCTGTCTATAAAAGGACAAGTTCACCACCTGATTTATTTCTTACTCTTCCAATTATAATCCCTTTCCTTTCCCTGGGAAGGTAAGGATAGATGGGCGTTTTCCTCTACGCTACTGTCTGACCAAGAGGCAATGTTACAAAAAGGAATTCCACTTTATAGGTATAAAATGCTACCTAACAGGACCCCATCAGCTTCACGTACCTCAAGGATGTCGAACTTTGCAGTCTTTACTTTGGCCCAAGTTTTTTTTAGCCGGGAGACGGGGCTCATGTTCATGCCGGCTTCCCATTGAAAATGGAGGTGGAGAAAAAAGGAAATTGAAATAGAGAAATAAGAAAAGCCATTTTAATGTATACTCTTAAAAAAAAGTGTTCATTGCTAACTGTAAGCAAGAGTTCTACAAATTATTAGTAAGTGATAAACGCCAATTTTATAATTTCTTCTTTCTTGCAAATTCTCCTAGGTCCAGAAACAGTATAATTACGACCATTTGCGTTGCACAGGGATAAGCAAATTTTTTCTGCAAAGGGAAAGACGGTAAGCATTTGACTTTGCAGTCCCTATGTTCTGTGTCACAACCGCCAAACGCTGTCATTGTGCGGCAGAAACAGCCACGATCTAGTTACGCAGACAACTACATAAACACGTGAGGATGGCCGTGTTCCAATAAAACTTTATTGATGGGCACTGAAATTTCAATTTATATTACGGTCACATGTTAGAAATACTATTCTCCTTTTGATATTTTTTTTTCAGTCACTTAAACATAATGAAAACCACCCTTAGTTCACTGACCCTAAAGAAAACAGTAGTGGGCCAGATTTGACCCACAGGATGTAGTTTGCTGACCCCTGATCTAGAGCCTGGTGTCTCATGTCATCTAAGCTTTATGTATACTCTCTCATATGGCCCCAACATTCTTGCAAGAATAAGCTGAAGTTCCAGGGCGTACGAAATTTTCTCTGGGCCATCCAGTTAGTAAGTAACAGAGAACAAAGCTCACAGCGATCTGACTCCATAACCCACACTCATTCGAACAGGCTGGGTTGCCTCCCCTGCCTGACACTTTGTGTGCTGTAGCTATTTGCAAAAAATTACGGTGGCTGTTTACAGAGAAAGGAACCCACACCAGCCTGAAGGATTGCACAGAAATCAGAACAGTGGTTGCCTCTCACCACGGATTAGTTTTATCT